TGGTGTGAAAAAAAATAAAGTTTTAAATTTTACTAGTAATGGTAGTCTAATTATCTTTTTGATGTATGTTTCGTTTCCATGCCAACTTGTGTCACTGTGTGCATGCTACACTGCACATAGAATGTGTGGGCCTATGCCTTAAGCTAGGCACTTACTACGCACAATGTCGATGTGATGCTATGAAGAACGCCACACGACGCGCGCAACGGATCGTTTTTAACAACGATCCGTTCGGATTGCAACCGACAATCAACAGACGGCGTTGCGTCATCTATCGTTCACGGGGAGCGGAGTTGGATTTGTCGTAGGACGCAGTGAATGTCCGGCATTGTTCTTTCTTAAATAATTATAAAAATTACAATTTTTCATGGGACCTCAATTATGCAACATGTGTTTAATTGTTAATCAGTTTATTATGTACCGGTATGTATTTTCATTTATTGCACAGGATTTACTGATTATTTTTGGAATTAGAGGTTTATAAAAGGATACTGTTATGTGATTAATATTGGTGCTTTCTAAGACGGAGTCGACGTTTATATGGTAAATAACACTCGAAAAAAAAAAAAAACTGTTCCAAAGGCATGTTTGCATACATTATTATCATTTGAAACATCTTACTTAAAATCTATTAATATGAATTGTATAGTTTTATATTTCTCGATTGTTTTGATTGTATGTTTACCTTGCTGTTGTGTTTGAAATAAAAATAATGATTGATTGATTGATACTGTGTATGATGATGGTGATCAGGCACACAGATTTTTAAAAAAATACACAAACAGCGTGGTGATTAATCTTTGTGTGATTAATTCTGGTGCTTCTAAGACGGAGTCGACGTTAGGATAAATAATACTCGAAAAAAGAATGTTCCAAAGGCATGTTTGCATACACTATTATATCATTTGAAACATCTTACTTGAATCTATTATACTGTGTATGATGATGGTGATTAGAAGTACAGATCTTAAGAAAATTACAAAAACATCATGGCGTCCCTGTGCATTTTTGCATACGTATTTGTGACATAGTTTTATGTACAGTACTTATTAAAACATTGATACAAACCAAAGTTGTCAGTTATTTCATTTGAAACCAGTGTCAGTATTATCTTAGGATAGCATGTGGTCAACATAAGCAAGAACTGAGTCCAATGAAACTGTTTATCATCTTGATACCTTCCGACAAAAATTTACCCTACCAGCGTCACCACGGCGTCACCACCGATCGATCTTACGTGACGTTGTTATATGGGGGTTTTATAGATTGAGAATGGTAATCACGGAAAAAATAGATAAAATGACATTTGAATGACCAACAAAGACAACTGAAGACAATAGTTCGTCATTAGAAGTTATTTAGTATAACTTTATTCGGAAAATTAATCTCAATATCAAGTTGCCGTCCCCGGCGTTGTTAGTGACGTCGTATAATTTGCGTGCGATTTTTACCAATTAATCCCTAAGTCAAAAATTGTTGAGCCATGTAGTACCTTGCAAATCAATTCAGAAACCTGGTAGTTTGTTTATTGTTTATTGGTAGCGTCCCTTCGCTGCCAAAAATAGTTTTTTGGCAGTTGCGTCCCCGGTGACATCGTGAGGGCATAGTGAAGGCTGGTTACGATTTGGTGGCACATCAATTGAGTACTTTCATTCATCTGGCCATGTAAGTCAGTGGCGTATCTAGATGTCTTGAAATGGGAGGCTGATGGGGGGGGGAGTGAAGCGGGGGGAGTGGATTTATTGACATACACCATTTATATCGGTGACACTCAACAGGTGGTGCGTCAAACATCTTAACTAATGCAAAAGTACTCTTAACAAAACTAATGAAAATATAAAAGGTAAAAACAAATAAAGCAAGAAAAAAAAGTCGACAAGTTAACGTATGCACAAATTATACACATGGATATACATGCATAAATATATTGACACATACATTATACATATATACAATATATATACATATATAGCTTATATACATATACATACATACACCCCTACATGCACCCATATAT